CTAATTAATTAATTAATATGGAGTAAAATTAATTCCTATTTAATGGAATTAAATAACAAAACATCCCACTAGAGTAATATTATTGCTCTCCCCATTTAGCCACTATTTTACCAATAAAATCGACCCTCCATTGTAATATCCCGAGATATTATCAGTATAAATTACGTTTAATTCCGATATAGTAACGTTATTGTTTATTATTTTCGGAATTAATCAAAGTTCAGTCGGATTACCGAAATCTATTTTCGGAGTACCGTTTACGTCCGAAATAATTTTGGTAATCAAGTAGCATGTTTAATTTAACAGTTAAACATCATTTGAGTGATTAATTAACATTAATCACAATAATTAGTTTAAAACCCTAAATAGCCGTGGGTTAAGCATGGAATTTGTTCCAAAATTTCCTAAGTCCGAAAGCCTCCATAAGTTAAGGGTTTAAACCAATTAAATGTTGCAACTTGTTGCACTTTGGGGGTGCTTAGTCATCTTAAAGTGTATGAGAAGTGAGCAAGTGTTAGGCTCTTAAAAAGCCACATAGCCTCACCATCATCACACCTTCGGCCGAGGGGCTATAAAAGCATGTCTTTGGAGAAAATTTGGTCACTTTTCCATATACTACACCAAGAACTCCTTCAGCATACATCCTCCCTTTTCCTCAGCAACCAGATCGTCCAAATTCAAGCCAATTTTTCCTTAGTTCCATCAGCTATCGCACGGCAAGGACAAGAAGTCACCGCACGGCGTTCACGCGAGGAGAAGTGCGACTTATTTTCCGAAATTTTGTCGAGCGATTGAATAGGTATTACTCTTGTCAGTCCTTATTCTTAATGATCAGGCCGTAGTCAGTTGAGGTGTTCGAATAATTGTCGGAAATTTCGATTAAAAACCGTACCTAAGTTCATATATGTTTGAGTTCCGGTTAATCCGGATAAGTCTAAAAATCAAGATAAGTTTAATAGAGCATCTTAACGAGATTAATTAGTTAATTTAACAGTCTGAGCATAGTCAATAGTAATTGTTTATATTATTTTCAGTTTAGCAGGCAACAGCACTACCTATCAGTCAGTCAGTTCAGGTGGGGACTCAGACTAAGTACTACATTGTTTATAATTGCTCTACCATGTACGAGGTATGTATTTTCAGTATCCGCTCGGAATGGCCGCCGGTCCGTTCTGGGTTCTAGTGGCCCTAGTCTGCCCACTAGAGTGTGCACATGGTGTCCGGTTCGCCGGCAGATGTTCAGTTCAGATGTGACTTCGGTCACTACG